TGGTACTGCTCAATTATATACCATAGTTTAAAAACGTGTAAAATGCTGTGGACAATAAAATGCATACAAATTTGTCAGCAGCTTTTGGAAGAAAACAATTTATATACTAAACATTTATCAATCACTTTTAATTTACTGTAAGTGTACCTCCAAAAAATCCTACCAGTAATTTTATGATGGGAGCATCAAATATGTACCACAGCTTAAAAACCGTAATTGTTACTGCCAGCTGAACTTAATATATTTCCAGATAGCAACATATTTTCCTCAGCATTGAAAATACTGCCTCTTCTTAAGATTGGAAAGAAAACTGGGAATTTTATTTTCAAAAAAGGGAAACTGAAACTGGATAAGAGGTTCTTGAAGAAGAAAGTACTACAGTCCTTCATACATATACATATATGTGTATATATAAACATTCATTCCCTCATTACACAAATATACTAATATAAAATAAAGAAACAAAGGACAATTGCATGCTTATAGTTTTTACAAACGTAAATTTACATAATTATTTTGTCTTTTGTCTTTCATCTTGTTCTAAAAAACAACAAAAGATAACAACTGCTTGGGTTAAACACATATACTTTGAGGTACAGAATGAAATGAAAAGATACTGCAGTATGCATAACTTAGGATATTTATGTAACTTCAACTATACAGATATTATGTACACACAAATGATAAATTATACATCTCATCTGATTACATCTCATGAGGACTATATGCTTTGGACTGTGAATCCCAGACTTGAAGAAGAAAAAAAGATGGATGGGGAAAAAGGGGGGGGGGCACGGCTCAAAGAAGTGCCAAGTAGAATTTTCAGGTACACAAATTAATAAAACATGAAGTGATTATGTCTGATTCAAAATAAATTATTTACTCCTCCTTCATTCCCACCCACTATCTTTTTACTCTTCTCTATCTATCCTATCAATCTTGATTAGGCAAAAAATGTGATGTCACTGTAACACCATAAGACAATGTTTTCAAACTTCTCTTCAATGTTAATATAATGTTATATTCCAATGCTTAACCTGCTCTCATGTGGAAAGCTCAGATTTGAATCCTTGGTAAGGTCACAGATTTTTCCTATCTGGGGCAAATATAAACTTCTAACTGGCACAGCTCATGATGACAATACTAGCGGTATGGCATTAAATTCTAAGGTTCGAAGACCCTCCTGCCAACACTGTGATTTTGGTAAATACAGGTAGTAATTGGCAGTTTAACCTGCTATGCAGAAATTATTTTCAAGTTAAGTTTACACATACAATTGTAAATGTTCAGATATTAATTTATCTGCCAGCCAGCTCACTAAGACAAAAGTCAACACAGGTGTATCAGGAAGCAACATATAGAACAGAGTATTTACAAGCACTAACTCTCTTGGACTGAATTAGAGTTCATAAGAGAAACATCAAAAGAAACTGCAAACTCAAGTACCTGGGTATCACTTTCGATAGAAGCATGTCCTTCAAGGACCATGTTGACACTGTTACAGCAAAGTTCCAAAAGAGACTCAATGTACTCAAGATTATGGCAGCAATGGATATTGAACAAAGAATATTTGTAACAATGTTCCAGCACATGATCCTCTTAGGCATAGATTATGCAATTGGAATGCTCACCATTCAAATGGTCAGCTTATGAAACTTTAATGCATACAGACTAAAGCCATGCAAGTGATTCTGGGATGTACAAGAGATACACCAGTAGTATGTATGCGATATATACTTGCACTGCTGACTATTGCAGATAGGCTAAAAGTGCTGTAAGCGAGGGCCTATCTCAGAGTAGCAGCAAAGAAACATCTCCTGCATAAAGCTCTAGAGATAGCTAAGGGACACAGACTGAAAAAGAGGAAGGTCTTGGATGGCACAGACAGAAGACACGATTTGACGTTTGTGTATGCTTAAAATTATTAGGTGAGGAGATGAGTGGATCAGTATGGCTGAGCAACAAGCATTCTTTTGTTGGGTTCTAATCAGACAGGTCAGGAGTGCAGGGACTGGCCAGCAGGTGCTGCAGAGTCAGAAATTCAACAACTGATTCATGACAATTCCCACCCAGGTGGTGTCATTATCTGTACTGATGCCTCTGTGTTACCAGGCAGAAGAAGGGCAAGGGGGTTCACCGCAAAAGTTAATGGGAAACCCTTAGCTCAACAAAGCCTGGCATATGATATCACAACATCTAATTTGAGAATGGAGGTAGAAGCGGTCACTGCAGCCTTTGACTGGCTTGAGAATAAGCTGCTCACACATGTGATTGTAAGTGGCTTGCAAAGCATGCTGAAAAAAGGTGGAGTCAAGTAGGCTTTGTTTATGTTCAACGGATCATGTCATACAGGAGTAACCCATAAAAGCTCCATTCTACTTCTAACTCAAGCCTGAGTCTGAAGAATCTCAGCGCATTGCACAAACTCTGTAGTACCGGTAAGGATCCTGAAACGCTTTGGGTAGATTTTTTACTTTTTGTTTGCCCGGACAGTGCCGTTAGGTTACTTTTTTTTTCAATTTTCAACTGCCAAGGTATTTTTTACATGCACAACAATACACACGGGCGTCCAGTCTCGAGAACAGGGTAAATTACTAGAAATCCACGTTAAAAAAATCCCAGCCTTCACGGGGTTTGAACCTGGAACATCCAGCACTCAAAGCAGGTGCCATACCTCGAGACCACTCAGCCCCTAGGTATGAATTGTGCAAAGTGGCATGCATCACTTCAGAAGTAAAGGGTACTTAACAACCTTAAATTATTTTTTCCAGGGTATGCAGATGGATTAGGAAATGAACAGGTTTATAGACTTGCTGGCTCTGTGCCACTTGGTGGTACATTTGTGCATGACAAGCCAGATGTTGTCAAGGCACTTTGTGAGGAAATGAACAGTGTGAAGGCACAATTAGATTATCATGGTCTGAAACCTATGCTGCAACAGGGACTGACCAGAGGATCTGGAAGACACTCCACACTAAAAGGAAAGGCAAGACTCACTTACAATCAGACCGTTATTGGTACCATTGGATTTGGAATTCTTCACTGGCTACTGAAGATGGGGAGGAGTGCTTATGGGAATGTCCCAAGTGCTATAATGTCAGTTCTTAAAACTCTACTTATCTGAACTCTCTTGAAAGTGATGGGAAAACATTTACGGCGACCTTAGTAATTAGTAATGACTCTGGAATTGCAAGACTGGCAACAACATTTAAAATTACAATGTAGTCAAAACTAGAACTGAAAGAGTTAAGAACATGGAACACGTGTATTGGTGTTACAAGTGGTAGTTGATCAATATATGGTGAATTCTTGGTACATAATTATTTACAGGCACAGATTGGAATAGAAGCAGACTTCACCAACTGTAACAGAGTAGTTACAATTGTTCTCTGAAACTAACAGAAGTTAAGAAACCATTAAAGTTTTGTTGGTCTTATAAAGAATAAGTAATTCTCTACATGAGGTAAAAACTTTAGAGGTATAGGTGTATATTCAGCTCACCATGTGCTAAGGGTTAAAACACAGCTGAAAATTAAGTTAGTGTAGCATCTTATGAAGATGGGAATCAATCAAATGCAAGATATCCAAGAAAGCAAAAATAACCCATTTATAGTCACAATCTAATAAATAATTGGACCTGCAATAGTTCTTAGTAGACAAAGTCAGCATGGAAGATGTTAAAAGTATCGAGAATGAACTGTGCATAGAAGGCCTTAGGAAAATTTGATGAAAATATAAAGTATGGATAACAAACCAAAACCCCCACTTAAATTATTAGAAGAAAGGAAATAGAACAAAGCAGACAACAGCAAGCAAGAACTGCTCAAGTCAAAACTCATGACAAAATACAGAAGTGAATTAAGAAAACAGGAGGCAGAGAAAGATGGAGAAAGGATAGATGGTCCAGCAGGGCAGGTAGAAATTGTGTGAACTAAAATAAAATTTTAATTTTACAGTAATAAGAAAAATAGAAAAAATAAAGAACCAAGTGAACTAATAAAAAACGTGATCATGAACATAGAGACCAAATAAACTGAAGAGCTGAATGCTCTGAGGAGATTATAAATAGACCTGTTTTAAAAAATATTCTATAAGGTGGAATCCTTTATCTATTTAGGAAGAAGTGTAAGCAAAGCAAAAAAAAGATGTTTTAAAAATAAACAAGGCAAATAGGATTGTGGAAGTTGAAAAACATTTGAATCCTGTATCAAGCTTAAAATACCTAAATATCATCAAATGAGTAGAAACATGACTAAAACTGTCAAATGAACTGTCAAGACTGTGTTTTACTACTTTTTAGGGTGGTGTAGAAAGGAGAGGCCTTGAGCTTAAGGATTTAGGGCCGCTTGGCTAGGGCTGTCCTCTCAGAATGCAGGTTGGGATGTTTAAATGAGCAGATGGATCACCACAGTCTGGTGAGATTGATGCAGCGGGGAGTGACGAGGTGTTCTGGCATATGCTCGAGGCTCAGAGAAAGGCAGGACAGACATTTAATCAGAATGCTCTAGCACCATTAGTATCAGAACTCTGCAATGGCTGCTGAAGATGGGATGGAGCACTTTTGGGAATGCCCCAAGTACTGTGATGTTGGTGCTTGAATCAACTCAGCTTAACTCTATTACAGAATCTACGCCACTGCTGTTATGTGCAGTAAGAGTTTCCCTATAGCGAGAAGGAATACAGACAACTTATCCAGCAGTCGCCCTGTGGTGTACTTGGCTAAGGATCTTTTTCTAAAAACAATTTTTTTTAAAACAACAGTTGTGCCATACCCCTGATTAACACACATGTTCAGTGATGTATGAAGTGGACATTCTGGTCACCCTAAACCTAAAACACTCCACAGATAAACTAAATATTTAAGAACAGATACCTGCAACCAAATTAAAGATATCAGTTTGCACACTTCTCTTTAAAATTATTGTTCTCATAACAGATGAAACACCCAGAACATAACACATTTGATTACCACAGTGTTTGGAAACTAAACAAGAAAATAATTAACTAAGAAACTCTTTTTCCAAGTCTGATACAGAAAATTTTGTCCCCATACTGTGGTGCACTAGTGGTCTTGTTGCATCCTGGTTCTGTCCCTCGACATCGATGTCCAGAAGTGTTGTCTGGTGTGATATATGTGGTGGTGTGCTTCCAGGAGACATGTGTGACCGATTTGAATAGTACTGTGAATATTCTTCACCAGAGCCTTTTCCTCGCACTGGGTTCATTCCATATCCTGGAGACACTGAGTGCTTTATATGTATGGGCATCGCTCGTGTTGCCCCTCCAACATCGAGAGTTGTAGGTCTCTGTGCTGGTTCTGCTCCTGATCTTCGTCGTGGTGGCACAGGCTGCTGCTGTAGTTGTGGTGATGCTGAGTTATATTCTGGGTGAGGGGCAAGGAAGTAATCTGTGCTGACATATTTAGAATCTGGGTGATCAAATGCTGCTGATGAGTTTGAGGTATTTGATGGTGTTCTTCTGTGGGAGGTGAATGTGGTACTAGAGTTGACTTTGCTGTAGTCAGGTGGGATAAAGTCATCCTCGAATGTCACCGATCGCCGCTGAGACTTATTTCCAGAATCCAAGTTTGCATACTTAGCAGGCACATCTACATTCACCTCTGATGACAGCTGACAGTTGTTGGCAGTTTTCTCACTTGTAGGTGTGGTGCCTGACAAACCAGAAGCTTCACTGTCTGTGTATGATGAGCGGTGTGATGTTGTGCGAGCACTGTCATCGCCATATCCTCCACCTGCAGCCTGATTGCTGAAATCATTTTCTGGCATCATTGGTGACTGGGAGTCAACTTCTAGAGGAAGACCAGGTCGCTGTCGATGCTGCACTCCATGGTAAGTGTGCCAGTAGCCTGGAGGAGGCGCCTGATAAGCACGAAAATCCCCTTCAGGCTCAATAAATGAATCCCTCACTGCTGCTAGATAAGCATCTCGACGGTTGTTGATGTATGAATCTCTCTTCTTCATGCTTTTGTCCTCCTCTGCACTCGGAGTGTGCAGATTGGGATGTATGGCCCTGGTGTTTGCAATGCCAATGTCAAAACCCATTGCCACAGAGGCTAGTAATGTGGACATGTAATACATGGCACAGTCTGTTCGCTTTCCTTTCACAAATGGACTTGTCGGCGTGGCTGCAGGTGAGTTTGGAATGCTTCGTGATTTTGTAGAGACATCATCGAAATCACCAGGCAAGCTATCTTCTTCATCATCTGGAGACAGCAACAATGATTAAAAAAAAAACAGTTAAATACTGGTAAAGTTTAAATATAAAAAGTAAAGGATCACTTAAAGTAAACAATTATTTCATACACTGTATGTACATTCATATGTACATATGTGATTTATTAAATCAATAAGCTTCTTATCAGCAAGAGACAACAACTAAACAGCGGTAAATTCTAGCAAAGTTAAAAAATGAAATAATGTGTAATCACTCAAAACGAAACTTTAAAAAAAAAAATTACTTATATATGTAAATGAGTGGATGCGTATTTGTATGATTATCTGTATGTATGAACAAATACGTGCTCAGATACACATAAGTGAGTCATGAGTAAAACCCTGAAAACTAAAGATCTTAAGCAACTGAACAGAAAATAAAACAGACTCAAGTTTAAAAGGAACCTTTTGACTTCCAAAATTAAAGCAGAACACAACTAGCAATAATATTCTATGCCTTAGAACAGGACACAATTGACTTCATAGCCACATGTACACAACATTTAACATCGACGAATCAGCCATGTGCACATGTGGACTGGCACCTAAGAGAACAAATCATGTCCTCCAAGACTGTCCCAAATACAACATAAAACTTTTGGCCAAGAGAAACATCAGTGAAAGTCAAACTTTATGGGTCGCTAAGTGAATTACATAAGACAGTGAAGTTCATACTAGAAGCAACATTGCAGATATAGATAATTTATTTCAAGCAAACGAAAGAAAAAGAATATTAAATAACAATCCTACGCCTACGTTGAAGACATAATGGGAGATTACCAAGCGGGTTTCCGTCAGACCAGATCAACAATACATCAGATATTTATTTGTGTACATAGAAACCGTTTATGAAATGCTATGAAGGACTTTGGAATACCAAATAAGTTAGTCACCATGACCAAACTGTGTATGGAAGACACTTCTAATATAGTAACATATAAAGGCAGAAAATCAGACCCTTTTCAAACAACATCTCGTTTAAAGCAAGGTGATGCTCTGTCCCTACTTCTTTTCAACTTGGCTCTGGAAAATTATAAGGAAATTTAAACAAGAGTGTACTATAGGAGAAACTACAAGAATACTTGGTTATGCAGATGACATTGATATCCTTGGAGAAAATGAACTAGAGACTGTAAAAACACTCTCTTATAAGAAGCAGCTCACAAAATAGGACTAGTTGTCAATCAAGATAAGACAGAATACAGAATATATGATAATAATAAGACAGGGCCACATGCAAGTCGATAATATGAAAATCAAACAAACGGAAACATATAAGTACTTGGGTGCAATCTTCAACTGCTCTAACTTGCTGAGAAAAGAAATACAATCTAGAATACAACCTGGAAATAAAGTATACTATGCCCTTCAACATCTGCTAAAGTCAAAGTTGCTATATCGCAACACCAAGATCAAAATATATAAAACGTTGATAAGACCAATCTTTGAATCCATCAAAGATGCAAACAGTGGGGAATGGAGAGTGAGAAGCAATAATGAAATTCAAAATCTCTTAAATCACCACTTATCACTGGCATTATAAAAGCTAATAGACTGAAATGGTTGGGGCATATTGAGAGAATGTCAAATGACAGAGAGGTAAAAACTATATGCACAAGGGAGATGAATGGTTGTAGACCATGAGGCAGACCAAGAAGATGATGGAGAGATAACGTCCAGACAGAGAAGGCCAACCACAGAGATGAATGGAGGTGGGTGATATCTGCAGCAATGAACCTCAAGGGCTCGGAATGCTGAAGAATAATTCTACGCCTGCACATTTTTGTCTTTTCCCGAAAAAAATGCTTACACAGATGATTGACAGCTCCCATATTTGAGTGACCTCCTCCAAGTTGCCGTAAAGACTTTTCCAAATTTGGAGCACTTTTTGACCATCTACCGTCTGCAAATATAATGGATGAACGTGTATGTCTGTCCTTTTGGACAGAACTTGGCCCCCATGTTTTGCCTTTCTTCCCATCAACTGGAGGATCTAAAGAAAAATGTCAGAAGCATCTATAAATGTCAATATATTTGTAAAATGTTTGTATTATAACTGTGCACACATTAAAACTATCAATTAAAGAATATGCTCTTTCTGCCTCTCTCTCTCTCTCTCTGTGTGGTGGTGGTGGGGAACCCCAAAAAAAAGGGGGGGGGGGAGAGTGGCATCAGCAATAGTTGGTGTACTAGTGGTAGTAGCAGCAGTTGTATTAGTGGTAGCAATAGCTGCAGTAGTCATTCTGTCCTATTCAGTCACATACTATTCGTCTTCTTTTTTGCATTAACTGGATGTAAACTCCATCTAAAAGTTCTAGCTGTTCCTTCACTTCTAGACTTTAACTCTTTGAGTCCCAGGGGGTTTAGCATCACAGGCCCAGGGGGTAGTAAAGAAAGCAATCAAATCGTTGCATCATGCATTCACTGGGCTTCTAGGTAGGAACCTACGAACATATGATGCGTTCCTTGGTACTCAAAGAGTTAAACTTGTTCCAGAACCTGAGTGTTGCATGCACATCTGTTTTACAGATTCATTTTATTTGTATGCAGACTGTTGGTTTCTTGAATCTCAGGCAGATGCACTTCGACTTCTAAGAAAAGCCCTAATTAGTCGACTCCTACAACGTGCTCGCTGGGGAGAGTGGGCCTGCTCTTGTTATCCCTACAATGGGGCCTGGAAGCCACACAGGGAACAAAGTATTGAAAGTAAAAGTCCACATTACGTTTTTATTAGCATTTCTATGTTTGTCAAGTATAAGTAAGTTCAGAACCCCTCTCAAGTCTTGAGGTGTATGAGGCATATGATGCTAGTACCATATTTCACTTGATCAGTTGGCATTCAGTGGGTGATGTAGTCAACATCATGCTAGTTTTGTCAAGTATACATGACTGATTGATCGGCACCTTTCTGTCTGTCCAGATGATAGTGTTATATTGTGCTATGAAGAGTCATGGGACTCACATGAGTCCACCTCAATACCTGCATAATTCATGTCCTGCTTTATATCATAATAGAGGTTGGCCTCGACATCTTCTACCCATCCTATATTCACCATAGAGGATGCTATTAGTGATGCTGCAATCCTCCATTCTCCAGGTGTGACCCAGCCACCTGAGCCTTCATAGACTGAGCATTGAGAAAACTGCTGTAGTACCTGCTCTTTCCAATATCTCAGTGTTTGTGATCTTGTCCTGCCACATTATGTCAAGTATTCTTCATAGACACTGCACCTGAAAGCTAGTCATTTTTCCTGGTGTGAATAAGCCGACCAAGTTTCACTACCATAAAGCAGAGTGCTAAGAACACAAGTTTTAAGTATACATAAAGCAAACACACATGCACACAACTACTAGCTGACTGCATTCAAGTGCAGCTGATTTCTGAATACTTTGGAAGATGATTTGATCTTATGTTTGTCACTGCCCCTGCACCTTCTTCTTCTTCTTCCTTCCTCGACTCCTGGAAGGCTCGCAGCATCAGGGCAGGAAAAGATCTCTGGAACGGGCCCTTCTGCTTTGTATAAGGTACTTTTCAGTGTCTCTGATAGTTCTGTGGTCCATCTTCTGCATGGTTACTGCATAACATTGCTCTCTGTGGTGCCATGTCTGATGCCATGGTAACCAATTGATTAGTTGTCTGTCTATAAAGTTCAGTATTGGTTCTGATTTCATCGTTCCTAAGTCAATATTTCCTCGTTACACCTAGCATAGAACTTGAACATTTCATTTCTGAATTGACTATTTTCCTTCTGCCTTCTGAAGACAGTGTAAGAATAATGTGATGAACAGTGTTCTTTTAATGTTCATATTCACAGCATTTCAAAATTGTTGCCATTTGACCTAAAACTTGATTGGATTTATTGCATCTTTGCTGAATTTCTTTATTAATTCTGACATCTTCTGAAATAATGCTCCCCAGAAAGGTAAAATTCTTCGCTTGCTTTAAATGATGTTCATCAGTTTTGATATTGGTGGTTCTTCCTTTTCTTGAACCTGCACCATTTCAGTAATAAACTACTCTTAGTAGGTCCATCAGTTCTGCTGTCATTTCTATGAAAGAAAGACTTGGTTAGAAAGATATTTAGTCTGCTTCATGTGTGCTAAAGGACAAAGAAGATGGTGAAACATTGGGTATAGAGAAGTGAACAGAAAAATCACCAAACAGGCACTTAAATTGGGAATAAATGGGTCAAGGAAACGTGGACTCCCAAAAGAAATGCAAAGACAAATGTTGATGATGAGAGAGGCCATAGGTGCTGGGCTGGATTTCATCCATGATACTGAACAAATTGTACGTGAGAACAGAATGGAAGAATAGACTGTGACATATAATGCACAACATCATGATGATGATGTTGTGAACTGTGAAAGTAGGGTTTACCTGAATCAAGATTATCACAGAATACTTGGCATTCCACTGGCAAGACACCAATGTGGCTGCTTCAGCATTCATCAGTTAAGTGATTTTTGTCTATTCATGTGGTTTTGTTTGATTTACATATGTGCTGATGAAGGCTGTATAGCTGCAACATTCATGTTTTGCTTGTGTTTGTGAAGCTCGTTGATCTACTTTTCGTTCAGTTTTATATCTTTCCAGAATACTTCAGTACTTACTCTTAGTATTCACTGGCTGCAAATTCCAGAATAAAGTTGTGGTTGTTTGTCCCCTCCTGGATTTGGGCTTTGATTCAGTATTTGAGTTTTGTTTGCACATCCTTTTTACAGATATGGCTTATCTGTATGCTGATTTTTGATTCCTTGCCTCTCAGGCAGGTGCACTCTGTCTTTGAAAGAAACATCCTTTATTGGTCACCCCACATGTTTTGAGGTTTTGAGCAACAGATCAACATCATGGCACACAGGTGTAAGCCATAAGTGCTCCGTTCTTCTCCTAACTCAAGTCTGAGTCTGAAGAAGATCAGCACAGTGCACAGGCTCTGCAGCACGGTGAGGATCCTGAAATACTTTGGGTAGATGTTAAACTCCAATTTTTGCTCATGCGCCATTAGACTACTCTTTTCAAACTGCCAAGGGATTTTTTATGTGCGCAACAATGCACACTGGCATCCGATCTCACCATCTAGGGACCAGGGGGAATTACTAGAAGTCCAAGTCTCACCTCAAATGTTTATTTCCCAAACACAGAATGTCAGCACTAAAATAAACTATTCTTGTAAACCATCTCATTTTTAAACTTACAAGCAATTGCCCTGAATCGGGGTGGTGCTGCTCCATGTGTGGGTGTCACAGGAGGGCTGTCCATATTTGCACTATCTCCATAGGTGCGCTTGTCATAAACAGATAATTCTTCCTTCTGCACGGTAATGTTATGTCGAAAATCTGAACACAAATAGCAAATGTCAAGAAATATGAACATCAAAAGACACCATGAATGACTGCAAAAAGCCTATGATAATACAACAGATGAGTAAATGTCAAGGATGTGTACTGTCACCTGATTTGTTTTCACTATACAGTGAATATATAATGAGATCTTTAACTGATATGCCCGGAATTGTGGTTGGTGGGCACAATATAAAAAAATTATGTTATGCCGATGACACAAACTTGATAGCAACAAGTCAGAAAGAACTACAGGAAATGATAGACATTGTGGTGATAAAAAGTGAATGAATAGGCCTCAGTTTAATAATGGGAAGAGATAAGTAATGGTGGTATCAAAGAAACAAATTATTCCTAAATGTATAATAAGAGTCTGTGTTATTTTAGGAGAAGTACAGAAATTTAAGTATCAGGGCACATGGATAACATCAGATGAAAGATACATTACTGAGATCAGAAACGGAATAGGACAGGCAAAAATTGTATAATAATAAAGAACATCTTATAGAATAGATCTTTGTCATTGAGAGTTAGAAAAAGAATTCTTGCTTGCTACATTCATCCAGTTTTAACATATGGCTGGACAATCATACCCTGCCAAAAAATTTCTTGAGGCCTCAGAGATGTGGTTTTACAGAAGAATGCTTTAAATACCTTGGTCAGCCAAAAAGAGCAACCAAGAGGTTTTGAAAGAGGCCGGAGTTGAGCTCCGGCCTCTTTCAAAACCTCTTGGTTGCAACTTATCACAGACATCAGAAGGAGACAGTCATCATTTTTTGGCCATGTTGTGAGAAGAGGGAAAACAGAACATGTTGTGACCACTGGAAAGATCTGTGGAAGGAGGGACAGAGGAAGACAATGAGAGAAGATTTTGGACAGTCTTGTTGCATGGCAAGGAGGTGTGTCATCACACAAACTGATACATGCTGCAGGAGATCGCAGATTATAGAGAGACATATCGGTCACGCCAGTCGGCAAGGCACCTGATAATGATGATGTCAAAGATAAAAGTCATTAAATAGCTTGAGGGGAGTATGCGACAGGAAACACACCTAAGTTTGCTACAGGCATCTTGGGATACCTTTTAGCAAAGCACTATTTCAGATATTGATCTTACAAAGCCAATACAGCAGTTAAATGATGAAGACCTGAAGAGGATGGATCTGAAATATTATCTCCAATATCAATACAGCTTCTTTTGTTGTCTCTTGCCAAACTAAGCTAGAGATGCCCTCAAAAATATGATTGAAACCTGAGGTTGGGATCTCCTTCTCAAGTTCTACATAGGTTCAAATTATGGGAGAGTGTGCATGGTTTCATTTTAAATGTAACTCTTTCCTTCATGAAACCAAGTTGTGAAATGCGCCTATTGCATTAGCATAACTTTAGAGTTAGCTTTTTAAATACTGTGCAGCCATTTATAAAGTTGGAAGTGTGTATTATATGTTTGTACAGTTTACAAATAGTGAGTGACATGCAGAGCCGAAGCATGTAGATAGATACAGATAAGAAGAGAAAGAATTTACCAGAAATTATGAGCAAAAAGGTTGTTTTTAGTGTGTAAAAGGAATGTAAGTGTTCTAGTTGCAATGTGTTTCTTTTCTAATTTTGTATCAGTTGAAACCTCATATAAAAATAAACAAGTGTGTATGTAAATACAGTGTAACCTAAAGTCTCCCCCCAAAAAAATACAGGGACACATTTTTAAATATTTTTAACAAAAACAAAATTTCCACATAAATCATGTGTAGTAAAAGCACACACGCACGCACACATACACACACAACCTGTGGAAAATAAAACTTATCCCAGACAAAATTCAACAACATAAAAAAGAATGAATTAACACAACTTACCAGAAGGCTCGCTTATCTTCTTTCCTCCATATTTCAAAACCTTTAAACGACTCTTACGACTCTTTCTCTTTTTTGGAGTGGGCTTGAGCATGACTTGTTGGAGGATAAGTATGTTGAGCTCTCGTTCCAAGAGCTCAATCTCTCGAGCAGCCAAATCTTGCTCTCGTTTCTTTAGGGCATCTTCCTGAATCTTTTGCTGCAGTCCTTGTTTTGTCAGTTCTTCTTCCCTGCAGCGTAGTTCCTGAAACATGTATGTCTATTTTTAAAGATACATACCAATTTATTTATTGTTTGCAGTAACTACAGCTATTTGTGCATAAAATATTTTTTAAACACTATGTCACATATGAATGATCAGTGGATATGTCAATGGCAAATTGTATCCCCTATTCAATCAAAATTACATCAAGAATCGCCCACAATTAAGCTCACAAAACATCTATTTTTATGGATGTCTTAAGATATCACACATGAAACAAATTTGCGATAACAAAACACTAGCCATCTGTACTGTCACTGATACCTGTGACGCATGGACCTTAAGAACGGAACATGAAAGGAAAAGACAAGTACTGATACAGGTTCATGTGATCCTTGGTAAATCAAACTAAGACTTCATCACAAATGATAAAGTTTGCAAAACCATTAATCAACAACAGGCAACAAAAATCCCTTTTAATAACAGCAAAGACACCAAAAGCAGTAGTGAGGACATAAAATAAGATGTATTTTCCTTTCCAAAAACATATTATATAACTTGATTTATATGAAGAGGAGACAATGCAGACCAAGAAACATCTGGATAGACCTCAAATATGAAAAACATTATCTAGTGCATCTGACCATCAGAAACTGAAATACCTTGTCAAACATTCAACAGTAACTCAGCATGTGTAGTATTCGATTCAGTTCACCATACAGAAGTGTTAACCATATAGTAGTATACACTAGAGTTCACCACATTGAGGTGTTAACCATAGAGTAGTATTCACTAGAGTTCACTGTGTTCACCGAAGTGTTAACTATATAGTAGCATTCATTAGAATTAACCACACAGAAGTGTTACCCATATAGTAAGTATACACTAGAGTTCACAGTGCAAAGATATTAACCATACAGTAGTATTCACTAGAGTTCACCATTCAGAAGTGTTAACAATATAGTAGCATTCATTAGAGTTAACCATACACAAGTGTTACCCATATAGTAGTATACACTAAAGTTCACCGCACAGAGGTGTTAACAATATAGTAGTATTCATTAGAGTTAACCACACACAAGTGTTACCCATACAGTAGCATACACTAGAATTCACTGCACAGAGGTATTAACCATATATAGTAGTAAACACTAGAGTTCACTGTACAGAAGTGTTAACCATATAGTAGTATTCACTAGAGTTCACTGTACAGAAGTGTTAACCATATAGTAGTATTCACTAGAGTTCACTGTACTGAAGTGTTCACCATTTAGCAGTATTAACTAAAATTCACCATATATAAGTGTTGACTATATAGTACATAAAGAAGTAATCTGGTAATCTTAGTTTCAGCTTCATAGCAAACATTACATAGTTGCTCCGCTCCTGTGCCAACGAAAAACACACAGAATGATTATCACAGTCCCTTGTGAAAAGATTGACAGACTGCTGTCTCAGCATATGCACTAGCATACACACACATTAAAAGCATACTGTAGCCATCCGAAGTGCTAACACAAACAGTACGACATTAGAAATGCAGTTCATCATGGATGGTAGCACTAGTGACTAGCAGAAGTCAGCAACAGATCAGCAGTTGCACATGCGATCAATTTTAATCACATAATGGCATCACCAATATTGCGACAACCGGCATTGTGCCATTTCTGAATCTACAATTCACACCACCACAAAAAACATTCCAAATGAAATCCACAGCTCACAGTGTTACACCATGCACTCAACTCAGAAGCTGGGCAATAAAACTATATCCTTCCAGTCTACAAATGGAAAAAAATGCAATGGCCACCGTCTGGAAGAAGCAAAAAAATTGGCCACGGCTCAAAACAGTGGCCGTGCCTAGTGTCCATTTTGACTTGAAGCATTATATGAGGATTAATAAACGGTCACCCCAGCAGTACCCTCACTATTAGCTGGGTAAGGGACTTAGAACATTACATTTACGAGCAAGCGTTGCCCCTACAACAACCTGACTTCCTTCGTTAACGACTGTTCACCCAACAGCCATGCAGTTCTTTGGCACAAAGGAGACACGAACTTGGATAGTTCTTGAAGTGTTAACATATAGTAGTATTCACTAGAATTCACCATACAAAAGTTTTCACTAAATAGCAGTATTCACTAGAGTTCACAACACAGAAGAATTTAAAACATAATTTTCACCATACAGGATATGTTCATGATACAATATTCGTCTTTTTTTTTCATTCAAACCTTTTCTCAGTCTCTCCAACATTTCTATATGTTTCCTTGTTAAAATAAATATTCTGTTCTTCTGTATATTCAAATCTCCTATGCCTCAGTTCAGATCAGCTTTCTTACTACTTCTTGACTGTCAGGTTTTCTGGGCTATTTAGTCAAGTAAGTAAGTAATGGACCCTTTTCCACACCGGCCATTTAGTAAGGGTTGTATAATAAAATCTGACCAGGCATCTGTGCCTAATGAGTGAAGATTCAACATCACAGAATTCAGGACAAGACACTCTGTTTTCCTCCTCAACAGCCAGCGACGAGTCGCCATAATGATCTATTTAACTACTCGGCATGCCCCCCCCCCCTCCCCCCACTAAGTGGTGCACAGAGCCTGCATACATACCCTGCTACATCATTCTCTCCAGGCAGAGGTTTTCAATATTTTTCATTTTACTTGTCACTTCATCCCACAGACAAGAGATCACCGCAGCCTTGTGCAGCTTCAGTACACTACCAGTGGAGGGTGACAATTCATAATTATTTCAAACTGACTTCATTAATTATACAGCCACACAAATATTAAATATTCATACCTTCTCTCTGCTACGCAGCTCATCAAACATTTGTTCTATTTCCAAACGCCAATCATCTTGCATTGTGTGAAAAGAATCATGGGGAGTTGTAATAAAAGATGAAGTTGCAATCTCCTGCAGACGCTGCAGAATCTCCAGAAATGTTGGTCGTTCATGAGGCTCTTGATACCAGCAATCTGTACAATGAGAAATAATGTGATGCAGGCAAAACTGGTTACACGATTAAAACAAATCAAAATCTCGCTGTCATCTCATCAAAAACTGTATCCAATCAATCAGACAACCAGTTGAGTTGAGTCAAGAATTGACATTACAGCACTTGGGTATTCCCATGCATGCTCCATCCTCATCTTCAGCAGCCAGCGTAGAGTTCTAGTACTGATGGGACCAGTCACAATCTGGTTATATGTCCGTCTTGCCTTTCCTTTGAGCCAACCAATCAATTATCAATCACCTACCAACCAACCAACCAACCAGTCTGTCTGCCTGCCTACTTGCCCTCCTAAAGTGTGAGGTGTGTGTTTAAGTTGTAAATCTTTTACAACAAACATGTCAAACTAAAATGTTTTTGGTTGCTTTAATGTTAATGCATGTTAGTGTGAGTCATGAATTGTTATATACCTTCAAACTGTAACTAGAAAATCACTTTTGTTTCAGAAGAGTTAACAAACTACACATAATACTAGACAAAAGTAATATTTTCATTACAGAAACATTTATAGTGATTAAACACAATGCAGCAAGATCAAATACCATCACAAGCACTACATCTCAGAAGATCAACTATAAGAGCAAGAGGTCAGCCGTAGAAAAATGGATTGACAACATTAAAGAGGCTCTATGCCTTCCCGGCATTACAATAGCCAGTGGCAGCCAGGGTGCACTGGATCGCAAATTATTCCTCCCCACGTCGCTTGATGGCAGAAGTGGTTTATGATGATGAAACACAACTGTTAACTGTTTCAGTGATTATAACTGTTATCATAAGGACCAGAAGTCTGGACGTGGTTTTAGGAGAAGTTTTTCAACCTTATGAGTAAATATCTTGTTTGTTATTATTTTAATTACCAGCGGTAAATGTTTAGACATTTGAGAAGCTTAATTTTTTTATAAAAGAGAACAACTGTTCATACACACAAGAGGATTCAAACATGTTCTGCACGAATGGGTGGTGAATTTAAGCACAAGAAGCAAGATGTGGTCAAAGGCTTTGGAAGCAAGTAAAAAATACAGAAGCATGAATTGATCATTATGGTCTTGAGAGAGAGGTACAGCTGGGAGCAGCCAGGGGATCTTGTCGACATTCTACACTCAGAGGAAAAAACAAAACGGACATATAATCAAACTGCTACCAGCACCATCAGAATTGGAACCCTTCGCTGGCTGCTGAAACTGAGGGAAAAGCAGTTGTGGGAATGTCCCGAGAGCTGTGATGTCAGTTCTTAGCTCAACACTGTCCAGAGGTGTAAAATGTGATGCCCTCACATTTACTACACACCGGAACAAGGTGACAAGGAAACTTTCTTCTTGGTTTAGTTTGAATATAATTGTGTTGTATTTTTACCATAAATTTGTGATATTTTCACCTTTTGGCAGATAGACCCAGCTGTTGATCAGGGAGGTCTTTCAAGTCAGTGATGTGTATCTTTCAACTCCACCAGGACCGTACAATGAGCAACCAACACATGATGATACAAAGTCTCACCATTTGGATGAGAAAAAGAAATCCTGTTTACATTAGGGCCCCGGACTACAGCTAGGGTGGGGCTTTAAAATAATGAAAAATTGCATCCCACATTGGGATGGCACTTTTGACGTGGTCTAGTGGCTAGACGCTCATGTACAGATAGGAAGGTCCTGGGTTCGGTTCCTGACGGGGGCCGGAGGTTTTTCAAAAATGACCTAGGTTCCCAGGTTAACTCAGCCTTGAGTCGTAATCAGATACAATCCTGGGAAGCAAAGGTGGCCGGCATGGTGCTGACCAGATTACCGTTTGGTCTATAAAATATAGGTCTAGCCCTATATACCTATTACACCTAAAGGCCTGGAAAAGGGTCATTTACTTTACTTTTGACTTAAGTTAGTGGTTCTTTTCAAACTTTCTGTACACAAATTATGTAGTGAGTTCTTCTTTTGGTCATCTGTTATTACTGCTCTCAACATTCCTACCACGGCATATTTTACAAAAAAATTTCTATGCTCTCTCCACAATGAGGGCTGGCTGCACCGTACCACTGTTGTCTTTGGGAATATTACATGGTGATACCACAACCTGTTGTGAGGCCCCAGTCTCTTCCACAGTGTGACTCTAGCACCACTGTCCAAAAACCAGTAAAAGTTCTTTTTTTTAACGGTCCACTGTAGGGAATAAGTCCTAGTACTTGAGGATCTTGAAATTGTTAACCACAATTGTAAACATCTAAGCCACAGATCTGTAATATGGCGTATTCACTAGCAAGGTCTATCATCTACTTGCACTGACAACTTTCCTCAAAACTGTTTACCTCTGATTTACATAATCTTCACATATTGGAATCAAATGCTGTGTTTGCATTGCTTCATGTCTAACATACTAAATTCAAACAGAAATTGTGAATATGCAGCAGACAAAGATGCTACTGACCTGTCATGAGCTGTGAAAACATGGATGGACAAGTTGATGGAATGGGTAAAGTCAGTTTATTCACAGCTACACCATACGCCACACCAAGTGTATCGATTCCCTTGTATGGAGTTTCACCAGTGAGAAGTTCCCACAGAACTACACCATAGCTGTGAAGACATGCATGGAGAAATAGAATATTCTTTAGACAGAAAAACAGTTGTTTGCAGAAACTTACCCAAAAAAATAAATGTAAATTGTATTTTTAATAAATGTGTCCTCACTAATGTTGTCGGTCACTGTAGTGATAAAAAACAGTAAACTAATAGATCTTGGAACATTCTTTCCCAAAAGCCTGGAGAGAATGATGCAGCAGGGAATGTTTATGGGCTCTGGGCATAACTCGAGACTTGAGAGAAGGAAGACAAGCAGTTAACTCTTTGAGTCCCAGGGGGGTTTAGCATCACAGGCCCAAGGGGTAGTCAAGAGAGACGTATAATCGGCGTATCTTGCGTTCATTGGGCCTCTAGGTAGGAATCTATGAATGTATGGTGCATTCCTTGGGACTCAGAGTTAACTAGAAGACAACAGGCACCATCAGTATAGAGACTCAGCTGCTAAAGAGGGAGACTGAGCTAAAATGGGCTTGTCCTGAATGCTGTGTAGTTGAATGTCTACCCAGATGACCCAGATCAGAACTGGAAGCCTGCACTGATTGCTGAAGATGGGGATAGAGCACAGAGAAATGTCTGAAGTGCTAAGATGTTGGTTCATAGCTCAACACAGTTTATTTCACATGGTCAAGAATTTATATGTTTATCTTCCTTATTCCACATCAAGTGTGCCAGTTAACCTATTAGGTTTTCAAATGTATTTCTTCTCATGACATAATTAACAAACTTTAACCCTTTTGCCCTGAGAACTCATGACCCCATTTGGATTCCTGAAAAATTCATTAAATTGAATACATCCTTTGGGGCTAAAAAAAAAACCACACAAATATCGGGTGACTCAGGCCACGACCCTGTGACCTTGAAAATTAAAGCTTATGAGAATATCTGAAGTCATCTTGGCTTTAAAAATGTCCTTTAGCACAAAGGAAAACCTCTAAATGCTAGTTAGTTAGTTTATTTATATCCCGACCTTCTAAACGTTTGCTCTGGCACAAAATTAGTCAATTGTATTAAATATACATCTCCTAAACTGGTCACGATAGGCAAGTCAGAAAACTGACATTTACAGGAAACTGGGGGAAACCGGAAGTGTTGGTTTTTCGGCTTCTTGGGGTGAAAGGGTTAACAACTGAAAAAGCCACAAACAGTAATATGCATAAAGTCAATTTCACTTTTTACCTCCAGACATCGCTCTTTTTTGAAAACCTTGAAAGTTTTATGACCTCCGGTGCCATCCATGCGTAAGTCCCAGCTGCACTCATTCGTGTTGTCTGCTCCACTTCCCTGGCCAGTCCAAAGTCTGTTATCTTTAATGTTTTCTGATAGAGATCACCACTGTCCATTTGTTCTTTGAGAAGAACTATATAAGAGAAAATAAGTACCAGAAACATTAAATTATTCATGACTTTCACAACTGTGATGAGTATAAGAGAAATATCATAACTGTTTAGATGATATAAACATGGAAAATTATTTTAAAAATACATTATTTGAAATAAGACTATGTAAGTAAAGTAAGTAAAGTAAAGATCCCTTTACACTCCCTTAGGCGCATCGGGCATATGGGAAGAGCACCCATATTTTTACAGACCAATCGGCACTCAGTGGGTAATGTGGTCAGCATTACGCTGGCCGTCTTTACTTTTCCAGGACAGCCCATCCTGGTAGCCATTTGAGGCTGGGTCGACCTGCAACCTCCCATACCACGATAAAAATCCACGCAGCCCACGCAGGTTTTGATCGCGGTACGTCGGATTACGAATCAGACTCGCAACGTCTTAGCCACTCGCAACGTCTTAGCTGAAATAAGACTATAGTTAATGATAATCTAGAAGTTTTGAACAGGATACAATATTATTCAATATTTTTTATTGGTTTACTGGTTTATCCTCAAATATGAGTTCATGTACATTTGTACATGACAGTTCAAAGTCTGATAACCATCTTGTGCATTACCTCTACTACAGTGCCAAAGAATACAAAGCAACATGAGTATTAACTCTTTCAGTGCCATGGAATGCATCATATGTTCATAGATGCCTAGCTAGAAGCCTAACGAATGCAAGATGTGCTGATTTTACATCTCTCTGTACTACCCCTTGGGACTCTAATGCTAAACCCCTGGGACTAAAAGGGTTAAAGTATATGGTGTAACACCATGCTACTAATTTCTGCATAATTCTATCATGTCTGGGAATGACCTAGTTAACAGAGAATCTATCTGGTAAAAAGCTTGTCTGTTCATCCCATAATTCTTTGTCAATCAATTAATTGCATCTCCACAGTGAAGGTTGACCACAACTGATCTCCAGCACACTCTGTCTTTCACCCTAGTTGTACATACTCTTAGACTGCTGTTTATCCAGCTCTTGATGTTATATTCTCACCTGTATCCCTGTAAGTTTCTAGTCTGGTTCTCATCACCCCCCCCCCTCCCCCAATATGGTTTCATATATGTGTGTGTATGTATGTGTGTGTGCTCTGTGTATTTGCATGTGTGTATGTGTGCGCATTTGTGTGTGTATGCATTTGTGCATGCGCGCATGCATGCGTGCTTGTGTGTGTGTGTTAACTTATCAAAGGTATCTCCTAAAACTTATTAAAGGTATCTCCTAATTTCTCCAGAATGATCCTGCTTAATTTTCTCCAAGAAATTGACAGTGGCCATATACTTCTCCAGCCAGTTTCTTTGGCAGCTTCAGATATCCTTTTCACTCTGCTGGTATTTCTTCAGACTTCCCAACTCTACAAAACTGTTTGTGTAGCAATGCCACTGATATGTTATATTGGCCTTAAAATATGAGTTCCAAGGATTTAACACCAACTGAGTTCAACTGTCATGACACACACTGAATTCTTTCAAGTTCAATAGTTATAACACACTGAGTTTAAAAGTCATGACAAACACTGTGTCACAACACTCACTGATTTTAATAGTCATAACACACACTGATTTATATGAGTTGAACAGTTATAACACACACTGAGTTAAATGAGTTGAACAGTTATAACACACACTGAGTTAAATGAGTTCAACAGTTAAACACACACTGAGTTATATGAGTTGAACAGTTATAACACACACTGAGTTATATGAGTTGAACAGTTATAACACACACTGAGTTATATGAGTTCAACAGTTATAACACACACTGAGTTTATTTTAGTTCAACAGTTATAACACACACTGAGTTTAGGTCACAACATACACTGTTCAATAGTAATGACACATTTAACTAATTTGAGTTTATGGTCATTTTACACACGGTGCTAAATGCCCATAACACCAAGTTCATTTGAGTTCAATGGTCATAACACATACTGAGTGTATTTATGTTCAGTGGTCACAGCACACAGTTAATACGAGTTAAATCATCATAAAAAAACACTGAGTTCAATGGCTGTAACACAGATGAGCTCAATGGTTGTAACACAGATGAGTTCAATGATCGTCACACATATTGAGTTCATTTAAGTTCATCTGTCACTACACACTTTTGACCGTTTGCTTTTTCTGATTCACAACAACGGTCTGGTTACTGAAATTCCAAATGGAATCAAAATGGCTGACGATCTGGTACTGGGGTGTCACTAGACTACTACAAAAGCTACAGACGGGTGAACAGATGGTATGTGAGTGTTAACACTCTGAGGGACCACTTACACAAATTGGTCTGTTGGTTAACACATGAGAAGCTCATGAGCTTTTATGGCTCAGGATGAAGGAAGAACTGTGAAAGAAGATTATAGTGCTTTTGTCTTAACAAAAATTGTCAGAGTATGTAAGTAACAGAAGCAGTAACCTCACTAGGGACATAGTCCTTCACTCAAGCACATTTTCTCAGTGACTTAATAATTTGCATGTCAGGCTAATTGGGGTGCAGACAAGCAACTGGCCATGCTGATATACTGAATGCTAAACAAGAAGTAAGACATTTGTGAGAATCAAGTAATAACTGTGAATCTACATGATGATCAGACTATGGGAGAAAAGGGGTAAGACCAGATAAGAGCACAATCTTTACAGGAGGCCAAAGAAGAAGAATAAACCAAGACAGAACAGGTATCATTAGCCGTTAGAGGGGATCCAAGATCATATGGGTTAACCGGGAAGGCTAACCCAGTCAACAAATGCCGGCAGAAGTCGGATGTGTTGGCCGTAGGTGCAAATATTGCAGCCATGCTGTAAACGGACACAGCGCAGTTGCATCTTTGGATCAATGCAGAAGAAGAAGATATGGGTTGATTGGTTCAGTGTGCAATCAGCATGATTTGACAACAAATAAACTAACATTCTGCCTTTGGCACTTATGATGCTAAAGTGAATACTGATCATAGTTTAAATCTGTGTACGCTGTAACAGGTGCCAGGTCAACCCAACCTACAGTGGGTATGAGGTAAAAGTCATGGGAAGTTAAGGCAGCTGGTGTAATGTTGACTACGTCTTCCACCAATGTGCCGACTGGTCTATAAAATATGTCTAGCACTACATGCCCAATACACCCAAAAGACTGAAAAAGTGTCCTTTACTTTTACACAGTAAAGCTCAACTCATTCAGCACAAAAAACAGCAACCCACTTAGTGACAACTACTTATATATGCATTCCTTAATTCCTTGTCGTCTTAATAAGATTCCCATCACAACTGTTATTTAAAGTCCCATTCCAATGGGATTATTATCCTCACATCACAAATAGAGGTTCTGAAGAGACAATGAATGAAATTAAAAGTGAAATAATTTTAAAAATTAATGAAAATGGCATATGAAATATTTTAGCCATTTTAAAAGTTAGTACTATTATTTTTTTTAAACATGCTGGAGGAAAAAGTTGAAAGCAAGTAGTCAAGAGGTCAACAGCAATACAAATGGCAGGATAACATAAACAAATGGATGAACAGCAGTGTCAAATAGTCTACAGCTAAGATGAACAAAAAAGTGAGTGATGGTTCAACGCAGCTAACCTTCTCTGTAGAGAAAACAAGGGTGATTGTAATTAAGCCAGTACTAGGCTACTTTGTCCCTTGTTGCTGTTGTTGTGGTTTATGCCAAGAAAGGCTCTGAGTAAAATATCTGATTTTGCTTTGTGTGTATACACTGCTTCCCTTTCCTCCTTTAATTAAGCTTCTTAGTTATTGCTCAGAAGACTCATTTCTTCATTATGGAGACTGACATCTGATTGATCTGTATTATCCTAACACCTCAGGTAAAAACCACAATTTTAGCACAGTATTATTTCCTAAAGAATGGGACAGAATGAGTAAACAACTTACTGTTACTGGATTTGAGGTCCCTGTGAACCAATGTCAGTGGAGCCTGCTCATGAAGATAATGCATCCCTTGGGCTATCTGTAGAGCCCAATTGACTAAAATCTCTGGAGGTATTCGTCGCCCTGCTAACACACGATTCAATGATCCCCCTGCAGCATACTCCATGACTAGGCACAAATTAGGAGGCTTCAGACATACTCCTCGCAGCGCTGCCACATTCACATGGCTAAGCAGCCAGAAAAGTTTTGCCTCCTTTCTCACATTTTCTATTGTTACACTGATAGGCTCATCTGGATCTTGTCGTGCAGCTTTAATTGCAACTGTTTCCTGTTTCCATTTCCCTCTGTAAACCTTTCCGAAACCACCTACACCTATCACCTCTTCTAAGTCTAGTTCTTCAAAATCAATCTCAAACGGTCTGTCTTTGGATTTAATGTCTGGTGGTAGCTTATCAACATTTAACTGAGAATCTTTGGCTACAAAATTACTCGGGAAAATTCCAATTTTCCCTTCAGCTTGTCCCATCCACCATCCATCATCACCAGAGTCCAGTGACAAAACCTGAACTTGTGTTCCCCTGTGTAATGTCAGCTCATCCTCCCTGGCTGCTTCATAATCAAAAATAGCAGTCCACAGAGGACTGTGATCATTTTCATCTCGTCGACCCCGGCGATCAGCAAACCGAGATGGTTCCATCAAAACGGCCGACACACCTTTGTGTCGCATTCGATGGATATAAATTCAGAATAGTAAGAGGCGAAATTCTGTTGGCTTTGTGCATTGTTAATCCACCCCAAAACAAGGTGGAGAAACGACGTCCAGTAGCCAATAATAAAGATCATAAAGTTGCATTTCACACAAGTTTTTCGCTTTAAAATATACATTAACAAAACATTTCTTCGTCAGTTAAGTCACATTCGATGGTAATAACTTAAAACAATCCGGGAAGAATATATCCATGGCCTTGCAATTTACATGTGTTGATCAGAATGTTATTGTGATATCTTTGTCAAATGTCTGGCTCGTCTGGCAGCCATCTTGTGTACTTTGACCTTGAAATAATAAATTCCAAATAATTTTTTCTGTCCGACAGCAGCCAGTTTCCCAGAATTATAACACTAAAGAAATCGACACCCCTACAGCTAAAAAAAAATGACAGCACTCGGATATTTCCAACGACCCTCGTCGAGTTCTCGATGATAAAAACAAGACAACGCCATTTCTCGCCGTGTGAACGTTATCGGCGGAGACAGTTGATGGAATCCTGCTGGAGACAACAAGACGTCCACCGACACCTGGAAACATGTGAGAACAGCCAACACAAACCTCTAACATTTCAAACCCTGGCACAGGTCAATGGGATCCCACATTCTGGACATCCTCTTCCAAGGGATATGGGCTTCAGTGACCGGAGGATGGTTCTACGACCCACAGCAGCAGGTCTTTTGCAACACATTTCATTTGTATCTGTGGGTTTTCTTGCTGGCGCTGCCTCTGATTCTTTACTCGGTGAGTAGATACTTAAGATACATCATTCATACACTACACTGACTCATGTACTCGTTCAGTACATATATCCTCTCTTCCCCCCCCCCCTCTAAAGATATGTTTGTTTGTAAGGTAACATTGTAATAATAACAGAATAACAAACTTTTTAGACAAACCCAGTGTGTCTGAGTCTGTGTTTTCCACTTGATATAATAAACGCAAGCGCCATAAGTAAACAAACTCCACTGTTGAGCTGTTCTAATGATTTTTTTGTTAGGAAACTGCCATACTTAGCTAACAACTAACACAATCATTTTTTTAATAAGTGTGAACATTGTTAATAGGTTATTCAGCTAACTGATTACCTTTGCAAACAATCTATAGTTTTGTTTTCTTGATTGTGAAGGCAAAAGCTAAATTGCAGTTTGTGGTCTTTGCACTACTAGCTATACAACCTTTACTTTATCTCTCAGACTTGAGTTCCCCTTGTCTACACCTACCTAAAAACTGTGGTAAATATGGGCAGTAAATACTTACAGCACAGGCTTGAATTCCTTGTCATTAGATTTGTGAGTCAAAACCCAAAAGTAACAAATATACAGCAGTGAAAAGACACAGCACATGATAGTGACAGTTGGTACCTATACCGAGGAACACAAAACAGTTCAAAAGAATAACTTTTTTATTTATCATTACTTGCATATGTTTTCTTTCAAGCACCAGTACACTCTGTGCAGGAAAGTATTTTTTCTTAGAAGAATGACATGAAAGATACTGTTCTTTGATGAGTATGAGTTAGATTATCTTCACAGTACTCCAGACACATCAACAGGCGCTCAGATTCTCCTCTCAACATATTCATCAGCATCGTGCGGTTTATAGTACCAGTCCTATATTGGTTAACAAGACTCTGTGTGCATCCAGTGTGCTTCTCATGCTTGGCTGTGCCGATCTTTACTTCCAATTCGCGTATTCTTAGCAGTGATGTGGACATGTTGCTTCCAAAATCCTCAGAACGTCCTATCTCTCTAAGGGCATTGACAGTGTTCTTTTATGATAATAGTGAGGTTCATCTTTTTGTCATAAGATATATTAAAATGTGGAAGGCGTGGTCGCCCACGCCAGTCAGCAAAGCACTTGATGATGATACATATATTCTTTCAGTCTGTAGCGGTTACTGTGGCACTTCCCCTGCCAAATTGTTTGTACTTTAGAATAGCACACTTAGTCTGATTAACATAATACAACTAAAGCAAAGAAAGAGCTGAAGTACCAAACTGAATCAAGTAGAAGAATTGCAGGAAAGTTGATACTTGAAGTAATCAATAAATTGGCTATCCTCCAAATAACTGTCCCAAATTATTGAGGCCGAAAATATTCCCTAACAGGACCTCAGTCACATGTAAATTGCGGACCTCTTTCCGGCGACTACACACCATGTCGCAGAAAAGCTCCCGCCAAGTTAAAGTCACTGCCGAGAGTATCTCCCGTGCTGCCACGCGTAGCCGTGCAGGGATAAACTAGATGCCTGGGACTCACGAGCAGCAGCTACCGCATCTCATGCAGCTTCCTCCATTTTATTTGCTCGTGTCCCAGCCATCTAGTTTAGCCCCACTCCGCGGCGCGGGAGATACTCTCAGCGGTGGCGGTTTAGTCGCCGGAAAGAATTCCACAATTTACATGTGACTGAGGCCCTGTTAGGTTATATTTTCAGCCTCTATAATTTGGGACCGTTATTCGGAGGATAGCCAATAAATCTATATGGTAAGTTGGCTGGCACTGTAAGGTTAAATGGTACTGAAGAAAGTATTAGGTATTGCAGTTAAAAGTCATATTTAACATTGCACATAAAGAATACCTCTTCTTGTTGAAAATGTGTGCCAGAGGAAATTACTGGGGACAAAACTGCAATAAGTTACCTGTCGGTGACAATATAAAGAGATGAATGGAAAGACATCTGTCTATCTGCACAGTGAAGATCCATAGCAATCATAATGCAGCCTGCATATTATTATTTTTACTTCACTCAGTCACTTAGCTACTGTTTCCATTCTTATGGTTGCCTCCAACATACTGTCTTGTCATCCTGGTTGTACAGTTTCTTACACTGCTTTTTGATCATCTTTTGATGTATCTTTCCACTTGTGCCACTAGCTCCCTCTTGGTAGCTTGCCTTCTTTGTTCCCCTCCAGTATGGTTTTTCTTAAATTGTTATGCAGTTGAATGTAGCCAGAGTATTTCATTAGTCTCTCTTTAATTTCTTTCATTTACTCTCTTTTCACTCCCATTTTCTTCAGAACCTTGATATTTGATTATTTTTGTTTTCATGAGGTACAGTAGGATGGCAGAGCTTCCATATCTGGAGAGAATAGTTCAGCTGGAGTGAGCAGATATGTGGATGATATTATAGCAGCGGGGAACACATCAGATGAATTTCTAATTAGGTTGCAACTGGCACCATAAGTATAGTAACTCTTCATTGGCTGCCGAGGAAGGGGAGGAGCATGTATTTCAGTGATTGCAGTTGACACAGCGGTCTCTGCTCGGTGTGCCTGATCTGGTTCATGAGCAGTTTATGACAAAGGTCACACAGTTTTGGAACTTCCTACCCCACTCACATACTTTCTGTACTGACAGTCATGCTTTACAGGATTCGTCTGCATCATGATGTCCCTTGCTTAACACTGATGATATCCTTGACAGTAATATTGGCAGGTTATTAGACAATGACATGGTTAGTGTAATTTCTGTCACACTTTTAAGGTGTTTTTTTTAGGCGCATAGTATGTGTGTGTGTGTGTATTTATATACATGGTAGAGAGAGAAAGACAACATAAATTCATTGTCTTTACTCTTGAAGAAATCTTCAGGCTGTGTTATTTTTATTTCAGACACTAGAGCCTTCAGTAGTGGTATGGAGTATATACTGCTGTATGATTGGCCTTCTGTTCGGCATCATAAAGATCGTGAACTACAGACTTCATCACTTGTTTGATACTGGAGAAGCAGAAGAAGAATGTCCCTCAGGGCCAACAAGTGCTTCTGGAGATACTGGGGCGAAAGGGTATGATTTATAAGTAGTTTTTGACTCTGTAATGGATTGAATCAGTGTTGTGGTTATGCACAATGTGGGCCAGATAAGTATGCACACTCCAGTAACAGAAAAATTTTAATTAATAAAATAAAATTTAAAAGTTAATTTGTACAGGCATCAAGGGATGAATAAAAGTTAAATTTGACTTCTACATTTACACAACATGCTTAAATAGGTTACGATTCTTCTACTTCTGCCCTTTATCCCCCAATGGAGCCTAGGTCCCCTAACCAACTCATGCCACGTTGTCCTGTCCTTTGCTATTGCATGCAGCTCTTTCTATGTCCTCCCTATCTTTATAACATCACTTTCTGGCTAATGTTTTTTTTTCCTGCCTTTATTTCTTAGCCCTTATAGGTTCCAGTGCAAAGATATTCTAGTTATATTGGTCTCATGTTTTCTCAACATGTGTCCTATCCAACGCCAGAATCTTTTCTTCACCTCTTGATTCACTGCAATAAGTTTTAAGTTCTCTTCCACAGCTTAACATTAGTGATTCTATCATACCATTTAATTCTTTCTGTTCTGCACAGGCACCCATCCACTTACTGGTTGGGGGGGGGGGGGGGGTGTTGAACCCGTGTTGACCAGATCAGCAGGCAAGGGTCAATAAAAGCTTTGTGAATATTATCTTTTAAATATTCAATTGTTGTATATAAAGCAGCATCTCTCTCTTTGAAGTTTCAAATAGATTTTTTTGAATTGGTAAAAAGCATTTGTTCTTGAATCATTCGAGTTTGGTTTTTTAATACAGAAGGGGTGATATGAAAGAAAATGAGTACATTGAGATGACATCAATGGGGACATCACCTGCAGGAGGGGACCAGCCAGTACCTTTATCAACAGTGTCCTCACAGCTAGAAATGGGAAAGGATTACTCAAATGAGCCGCTACCTTCGCCTGTTCCACTGAAGGCTGGAAAAACAGGTAAGGGGCACATACTGAGTTTAGTTTTTTCATTTTTTTTGCCTTTCATTAAATCAAGGCTATTCTAATGATAGCTCGTGGGCCAAATATGGCCCCGCAGATCATGCCATTTGTATTGTATTAATGATTTTTCAGTGCTTCGGCTTGGGTCTCCCTATTTACAAAATGGTGGCCCCTGAGTAAACTTAGTTGAATATCCAATCCCTGCTTTAAATGTTAATGATGAGCAGTGACTGGCTAGCGGTTAGAACGCTAGGCTCTCATTCAGAAGACCAGTCTGAATCAGTCTTAAGGTAATGTAAATTCTTTCTGTTATAAACAAAAGTAAATATCCCAGGTTGTAGTTAATAGAAGCTACCAAGCCATGCTGCCGTCAATTCTCAAGCTCATAACCCCTGTCCAGCAACATCTGAAAACGTGGTAAATACAGGCAATAACCACAACTTTTATTTTAATGATATCTTGATAAATTCTCAGTTCATTCTTGCAATGACAATGCAGTCTCTAGAATGTGTTTATACTCTTGGGTATCAACATTCCAGTTCTTTGGTCATGTGTTAAAATTCTAGTTTGGTGCTTATTATTTAAAGTCCTCATTAACCTAGAATCCTATATCAGTCTAGCCTACAAATAGAAACCAGGATTTTTTTCTGTGAAGCTATAACAGCGGGCATATTTTACTTATCCAGTACAGATTAATGATACGAATATAAGGTCAGCTCCGTATTTTATGGGGTAAAAACGGTCCTTTACTTCATGCTTGCATTCTGTACAGAGCAGTTGATTTTGCATCCTAATACGACCACAGCACTTTCAGTTTTCTTTACTTGTTCACTTCCAGACAGGTATTTCTTATATCCACTCAGTACTAGTTGTTACTTTAAGTATTTTTTTTCTTGGTTCTTCAAATGGTTAAACTGTTTGCCTTGCACTCTATAGGTTGGGGGGTTCGGTATTTCTCACATCATCCTTCGATTCTTGAGTGCCAATATTCTTAAGGTTAACCAGAGATAGCAAATCATATGAAGAAATTAACATCCAGTGCACTGAAGCAAATGAAGTATTGCTACCTCCACAGCGTTCCCCCCCCCCCCCCCCCCCCCCCCCCCACAGCACAAGGAAACATCTCATGCAAAGCTTAGTCATACTCATTCGCACCTTATGCTACCAATGCCAGACATGGTCACTCAGAACAAACCAGACAAAAAAATTAGTAGCAATGAAAATGAGATGTTTGGGAAAGGCTGCATTAGTGACCAGAGGTGATGGAATCAGCAATGAAGTTATAACAGAAAAGGTTTGCACATAATCAATACTAATTACATGCAAAGACAGCAAATAGAGTGGGTTGCCCACCTCAAGAGAAATCATTTACGCTGCTATACCAAACAAGGCATACGCCACAAGAAGAGAGGAGTATAGAGAACGATTGAAATTAAGAACAAGATGGAAAAATAACATCAAACTCTACAGAAGTATAAAGTTTATATGGTTAAGATGGTAAGAAGAGCAAAAAGCAGAACCTTTTGTCTTCTTTGACACCCAAAGCAATAAAGAAGTAGAAGCTTATATAATGTGCAGCAAATTCTGTAGAATTGACAGTTGTGATTTATCTTTGCTGTCTGCCTTTGTTTTGTATTTGTGTGTGTGTGTGGTTTTTTTTTTTAGTAGCTAGCTAATTAATTCTGACATTGCGGTTGCCCTCGTAAAACAGGCAGTTGCTTTTGTCATAAAATATCTTAGAGTATAGGCTGATGTTGAAGCATATTATTAAAATCTCAATGTGTAGGAATACGGATAAAAAAACAAAAAACCCCAACAAATGGTCCCAGATATTTCTTGTTACTGAGAGGAAGTAACACATGGAGATATAGGAAGTTTGAGAGGTCAGAGGGGATGTTACACTGATGGAAAAAAGAGATGCAAGAAAAAAAGGGTGAGTATAACAAGAATAACATTTTAAAATGAGGGGGGGGGGGGGGGGGGGGGGGGGGGATAACATTCAGAAAGATGTGGAGAAATAGGACATGACTGACAAATTAGGCAGTTTTCCAGAGATGTTTATGTCTTAATGACTTTACCAGATTTAATGGTTGAATTTATACTTCAGTTATTAAGGATACACATATTTCCTTCATTTATTCAATTGTTACTGTAGTATGCACCTGATGAGATACAGCGAAATATCCTAAGCAATAAATTGTGCAATCTACTGTCTCTATTTTCTTTGTTCAGATTTACAAAACGGAAACATTGCTTTGATTGGCTAATTAACTGTTTTAAACTATATTCTCAGATAAAGCACCACTGGCTGAAATAGAAGGTTACGACATTCCAGCTGGTCAGTTGGGGAAAGTGACCAGACATGGCAGTAACAGCAGTGGAAATGGTGAGCAAATGATGTTTAGTTTGTTAATTAGATAAATCAAGAATAATGTAAAACAATTATTACAATTATTACAGAAACACGGTCACTGTTACAGAAACAGTCTATGACTTAGTCAGATTTTAAAACAATACAACCAGAAAATAGATTTCATCTGTTTCATTCTTGGGTGAAAAAATTAACATTATTGCTTTAAAGGCTTCATTAACTTACTACAAAAGAATTATGATACAGCTTCATAAAATATCTTAGAATATAGGCTGATGTTGAAGCATATTATTAAAATCTCAATGTGTAGGAATACGGATAAACAAAAAAGACGGTCCCAGAAATTTCTTGTTACTGAGAGGAAGTGACACATGGAGATATAGGAAGTTTGAGAGGTCAGAGGGAATGTTACACTGATGGAAAAAAGAGATGCAAGAAAAAAAGGGTGTGAATAACATTTTAAAATAGGGGGAAATCTGATAACATTCAGAAAGATCTGGAGAAATAGAACATGACTGACCAGTTTTCCAGAGATGTTTATGTCTTAATGAATTTATCAGATTTAATGGTGATAGCTTGAAATCATGCACACCACAATGATCAGGAATAAATCAGTTTACCTTTGTCTAGCAGAAAAATCCCACATTTGTTTATGTCATATATATATGTGTTTGTGTGTGTGTATATATGCATGTGTAGGTTACACAGTAACAACTTGATTATATATAACCATCTAATGACAAGTACTTATGTATGAACCCCCAGAAAAATGTCTACACACTTGAACAGTCCATGAATGACTATTTGGTGGTTTTTATAAATAGACACGTATACAGAAATCTGCATCAATGTCTCTGATTCTCTTTTTACCCTTAAAAATGCGGTTGGCCAATTGTATTATGATTTACAGCAAGGCTGTGCTATCTGCACCTTTTAGCTCAACACATCCAGTTTCAGCATACTGCTAATTAGTCCCCCCCCCCCCCCCCCCACCAAAATTGGGCCCCTGGACCCCACACAGTTATAACTTATAACCTATCTATGACTGGGCACATATGTAAATTAGTTGACATATAATTATAATTAAACTTTTTTTTTCATATGTTTATCTTTCCTTCAGATGATGAAGATTCACCTGATCAAGATGACGATGTCCCACGAATGATTACAACACAGGCTGAGATTGAACACACACCTATGTCTTCTTCCACAGCTGAAGAGCTGCAGGAAAATCGGGGAGAAGTTGTGAATGAAATTCAAACTGCAGCCCATAATTCAGACGACAGTGAGGGCACAGATGATGGTTATTGGGTGGCCAATGCAGCTGAACATCCTGGAGATGACAGTGTGAAGGAACAGGTTGGTGTGGAACCACAGCCTGATGACATGCAGATAGAGAGCAACATTAATGAAACTACCAGTAGGGATAATACCAAAAATGATGAGTCAAAAACTGTTGAATCATCAGCAGAGAAAACAGAACACAACAGCACTAGTGACTCAGACCATGTGAGGCCAAAGCTGCGAATGAGGAAAGAGAGACGGGCAGTGAGGCGCAGCAAAAGCACAGCTGAATGGAGCCCTACAGCACCAAAACCCACACACAAGGCTAGAGTGTCGTCTCGGTCGCTGAACATGCCAGCACCTCCAAGCTCTCGTCCATCCTTACAACATCCATCAACATCTAGCAACAGTGACTGGTATGATAATACTTGTCGTGACATCATCACTTACACTTTCATTGCCCTCGGCTTTTCCTCTTGTGCCATTCATCAAATAATTAATTGTCTCAATAGCTTTAACTGTATGCTTTATTAGCTACGAGCCTATTTTTATGGCTGTAAGGAGAGATTGGCGTGATAAATGCAACAGTAACTGGTATGATAGATGTCTTGACATAATCATTTGCACTTTCATTGCCCTCAGCTTTTTCTCCTGTCATTCATCAGATAATTAATTAGTGTTCAGAAAGCTTTAACCACATGCTTCATTAGCTAGGAGCCTATTTTTATGGCTGTGGGTAAAGATCAAGAAACCAGTCTGCTGAAGTGGTAGATTCTGATATGAAGTAAAAAAGTAAAGGACCCTTTTCCATGCCTTTAGGCATATAGGGCTAGGCCTATATTTTTATAGACCAATCGGCACAAGATGGGTGATGTGGTCAGCATCACTCCTGAGATTCTGATATACTAGATTGTTAACTGAGGTCACTGTCATCTACATTTTAAAATTTTTTCCAGAATTGGAGCTCTGCGCTGGCTGCTGAAGATGGGGATGGATCACTTATGGGAATGTCTCAAATGCTATGATGTTGGATTTTAGCTCAAGCATGCATCTGTCTGTGCTACATTCCTTTCCCAAAATAATTTATTATGCTTGGTGGACACAGACTGGTGATTAGAATGGTGTCTCTAGTTTGGACTAAATCCTTGAGCAGTGTCATTGTGTTGATACTTCAGTACTCTAACCACTGCATCCTGTCTGAGAAGCTGAAATATTTTGATCATATCAAGTGCCATGACGGATTGGAAAAAATTATAGCAGAGGGCATGGAACCAGGAAGAAGGGGCAGAGGCCGACCAACACGAAGATGGGCACAGGATATAAGTGACTCCTTAAATATGAAAGTGCATGAGGCGGGAGAGCTGGCGAGAGACTGAGTTTCTTTCAGGCAGACCGTAATGAGAGCAACGTTCTGCAAAGTACCTGCTACATGATGATAATGAACCACTTCACCACCACAGCTCCACTCTATCACCAGAATTATCTTTTGCACTGGTGCCCAGAGGAAAAAAGTCATATTATTATTATTATTTTATTTTTTTAACGCAGAGAAGGGAACTAGAGATTGATGTTAAAAAGATGCGGAGGACATGGGGTGAACTGCATGTGACAGCACAGGAAAGGGTGACTTTGCATGGGTAGATGAAGAGCCTGTGCTCCATTGTTGTTTAAATACCAGAAGAATTCTCTGAATTTGTTCATCTTTGTTTTTGCTGGTATGGACTCCAACTGTAGAAAAATAAACATCCTGCCAATAATTTCAATTTGGTGTAAGACTTGGTTAATGCGGTTTCTTTTAAATACTGTACGTTTGCAACACTTTTTGTTATGAAGGCTGTTTTGTGCAGATTAAAATTTAACATTGAGGTTTTTCTCTCTCTCTCTCTCTAAATATCAGGTCAGATGTTAGTTTTGGAGAAGTAGAATTGCCGAATGGTCATGATGAACTGTTTACATCCACAACAACTCATCCCCTTAATTCATCTAGCGTCGGGGAATCATCTGGCTCCACTCTTGTTGCTGTCAGTCAGCAGAGCCAGCATGACAGACGTGACAGCCCTCACCCAAACTCGGTCCATTCTGTCCCTTACAGACCACACAGCAGAACATCATCTTCCTCATCTCCATTGCACCCGGATTGTTCCAGAAGGGTTCCATATTTCAATATATGGCTACAGCAGGATCAGGATGCAGACACAGATTCTTTAACTTCAGGAGGTGAGTGTGTTTTTCTGTTGTCTAATTTATTTCTGTAGAAGCTACTGAGTATATACCATCTGTCACAAACATGTATAGTCATGTACTTTCTTCTTCTCTTCCACCTTGTACCTCAGTGAAGTGGGGGGCGGGGGGGGGGGGGGGGGGGGGGGGGGGGGGGGGGGGGGGGGGGGGGGGCGGGGGGGGGGGGGGGAAAACGCTCGTTTATGAGCTCTGTCAAGAGCACTATTAATATTGATGTTCATTTCTGTAAGGCTGTTCTTTATGCCATCACTCCATATTTTACAAGGTCTTCCCCTTGCTCTATACCCGTTGTAACATTTCAGTGCGGCTTGTTGTGGTAGATAGTACAAGGGCATTCTTGTTGAGTGTCCAGACCACTTCATTTGTTGTTCGTTGATGACCTGTAAGACTGGCTTTATTCCTAGCATTTGTCTGATTTCGTGATTTCGTATTCTGTCGTTCCTTGAAACTCCTGCAGCTCTTCTAAGGCATTTCATCTTTATGTTCAGTAGAGGATGAAAGTATCCATATTTGGAACTGATAGCATAGTTGTTGGTGAAAATGTACTTTTATCTGTAAAAATAAATGTCTTGTTTCATGCTAGTGGTGCATTGGACATTTGAGACTAGGCTCATTTTCATAGATCACTCAGCCTTTGATGGGTGATGTGGTCAGTTATCATGCCGGCCATCTTTTCTTATCAGAACTTTACCTGGTACCCTTTTAAGGCTTGGTCGACCTGGAAGCCAAGGTCATACGTCCAAGGTCAATGTAAAAAAAAATGTGGGCACATGTCAAATTGAGTTCATGACCTTCAGATCTTTAGACTAGCTTCTAGCGACTACAACACAGTGGTTGCCATAATCTGTCTGTATGTATTATAGTTTGTGTTTATATTTGTATATGTGTCTGTTTCCAAACGTATGTATGTTTATGTGTGTTTACTTATGTGTTTGTATATATGTGTACGTTTGCATGTCTGTACATGTGTATTTGTCTGTACCCATGTGTTTGTGTGTATGCATATATGTGTGTGTATGCATGGTACGTAAGAGAACAGAAACACATTATCTAAGAGATGTGAAATTTAATTATTTCTATATATTACATAGTGAGGTAGGGGCACATTCGTTTTCTATACTTTTCCATCCCAAAGAAATGACGCATTTCATTTTAGTCGAAAAAATTTAGAGTTTTGAAATACTACCTGCAGATCCTCCTGGTTGGGAAGGGGGGTGGGGTCAAAGCATGAAACCGACACCCCCACCTTTGTAAAACATCATGTTTTCACGAAACAGATGTATATGTCTTGATTTTAAATGCATTTAAATGGACAGCAAGACTAGGACGTTAAAGGACTTTTGAGATTTGGAACATGCAATGTACAGACCCTTTATAGAGGTGGAGCACCTGAAGAATTGACTTGTGAGTTATCAGATTACATAATGGGTGTAACAGTAGCCAGGACAGGCTACCATAGAGGAAAATGGAATGATCAAAGTGTATGAAGGAAACACTGAAAGCAAATATGAACAAGGGACAGGATTTGTCATCAAGAAAAACGTTGTGGGAAGGTATTCTAAATTTTGAAGCTGAGTACGTTACAAATAACAGGAAAATGGAAAAATGTCATGGTGATCAATGTGCATGCAACCACTGAGGATAAAGAAGATGATGTTAAAGAAGATTTCTATGATCTCTATGCGAATATCATAGAGGAAACTCAAAAACAAGACATATTGATTGTCTTAGGATTGTCAAGCAATAATGGATGGCGACTAATCAAACTTAGAAGCCAAAGGATTACAGATAAGCAGCACCAGATTTCAAAGAAAAGTACATGAAAAAACCTGGCAATCATGGGACAAGATAACTTATATAATCAGATAGATCACATTTTAATAAATAATAGAAATGCATCAAACGTACAACAGGTTGGAAGCTACAGAGGAGCTGAGTGTCATAGTGACTACTACCTGGTCTGTGCAAAATTAAAAATACAAGCATGAAAGATCCTTCTATACCAAGTTGCAAAGATCACACCCAGAGTACATTAGAGAACGATTACCAGAAATATCCATGACAGAAAAACTTGCAGATGAATTAAAACATAACATTGCAATTTTGCATTATCCATCAAGAGGAAGAGGTTGACCAAACCTGGATAGATATTAAGAATATAATTCAAACCACTGCACAAGAGTGTCTTGGTGTGTCCACCATAAACAGGAAGAAAAATGGTTCAATAAAAAATGTGAAGAAGCAGTCAGTAAGAAAAAACTGCGAGGCAGATGTGGCTAAATGATACTAGCAGCATACGAAATGAAGAAAAATATGGAACAGAATGTAAAGAAGCTACAAAAGTAGTTAGGCACCAAAAGCGAGAATACATGAACGATATAGAAGCTAACCATCAGCACAATGAATCTAGAAAGTTTTTTGTTTTTTTTAAGGAACTGAAGGCTATAAAATGAGGGCATTAACACAGCCTGAATAGTTTAAAAGATCACAATGGGAACATGGTAAATAATCATGAGAAAATATGTAACAGATGGAAGGAATACTTTGCTGAGTTGTTAAATTGTGAAACTCCACTAAATACTTATCCACAGGAAGAGATATTAACATGTGAACCATGGTAAATAATCATGAGAAAATATGTAACAGATGGAAGGAATACTTTGCTGAATTGTTAAATTGTAAAACTCCACTAAATACTTATCCACAGGAAGAGATATTAACATGTGAACCATGGTAAATAATCATGAGAAAATATGTAACAGATGGAAGGAATACTTTGCTGAATTGTTAAATTGTGAAACTCCACTAAATACTTATCCACAGGAAGAGATATTAACATGTGAACCAAATTTTGAAGAGCCTAATTTAAAAGAAGTACTGTATATCATAACACGGCCTACAAAAAAATAAAACAACTGTTGCTGATAGAATTGTTGCTGAACTTATAAAAGAAGATGGTCATAGATTACATTTAAAGATATTTAATTAATTAAACTAGTTTGGAAGACGGAGAAATTACCCCATGAGTGGAAAGAGTCATTATTAATACCCATTTTCAAGAAAGGAGAGAAGTATAAATGTGAAAATTGTAGAGGAATTTCACTATTATCTACAAGCTATAATATACTATCAGCGGTACTGCTTAACAGGCTAAACATACGTCGAAGATATATTGGGTGATTACCAAGCGGGTTTCCGACAGAACAGATCAACAGTAGATCAGATATTTATTTTATTTCAAATAGCAGAGCAGAATTAGGAATAAAGAAGAGATGCAGGTTATGTTTTTATGGATTTTAAAAACGTATATGATAATGTGCATAGAAACAATTTATAGAATGCTATGAAGGACTTTTGAATACCAAAGAAGTTAATTACCATGACCAACTATGTATGGAAGACACTTATAATATAGTAACATATAAAGGCAGAACATCAAGATCCTTTTAAAAAAACATCCGGTTCAAAGCAAGGTGATGCTTCGTTCCCACTTCTTTTCAACTTGGTACTAGAGAAAATTATAAGGGAATTGAATGAAAGTGTACTATAGGAGAAACTATTAGAATACTTGGTTATGCAGATGACCTTTATATCATTGGAGAAAATAAAATAGAGACTGTAAAAACACTGACTGTCTTAAAAGAAGCAGCCCACAAAATGTGAGAAGTTATCCATCATGATCTAACAGATTACATGATAATTACAAGACAGGGAAAGGATATAAACTCCGACCACTTACAAATCCATAATGTGAAAATAAAATAAACGGGAACATATAAGTACTTGGGCGCAAACTTTAACCTGCTGCAATATACTAAGAGAAGAAATACATACTGAGAGAAGAAATACAATCTGGAAATAACGTATACTGTGCCCTTAAGCATCTGCTTAAGTCAAAGTCTGTCTATATGGCTCTGAAACTTGGGGCACAGCTGAAAAAGATGAAGCCTTATTAAAAATTTTCTAAAACAGTCTTACAATGAATTTTTGGACCCACCTAAGCTGCAAACAGCGTGGAGTGGAGAGTGAGAAGCTACAGCGAAATTTTTAATCTGTTTAAATCACCATTGATTACTGGCATTATGAGCTAATAGACTGAAATGGCGGGGGCATATTGAGAGAATGTCAGATAAAAAAGAGGTAAAAACAAGGAAACTGAATGGTCGTAACCGCGAGGCAGACAATGAAGACGATGGAGAGATAATGTCCAGACAGACCTGCAAACACTTGGTATCACTACTTGGAAAGTGAAGGCCAGGCAGAGAATGTAGGTGGGTGATATCTGCAGCAATGAACCTCAAGGATTCAGAATGCTGAAGAAGAAAAAGAAGAAAACCTGTATATTATAAATTGGAAGAACTTTTTTGTTTTACTTTTTGTTTCAATTTAGAATCAACATCAGATCCTCTTTTAGCTTTCATAACATGTTTTTTATGGCACTCTTAGTCGCAAGGAAGTTAATTTTTGTCTTCGATGTTATCCTTACCTTTGCTACTCTCTTTGTCTTTTAAGGTGCTGACACTGCATCCCATACGACAGAATCCAGCAGCTCTGCTGCGGGGGAGCCAGACATGGGCAGCATGAGGCCTCCCAAAGAGCTAGATCTTACTACCCCTAGCAGCCCTTCAGCAGAAGATTTAGCACTCATGAGAAGCCAGGGAGCCATTCCTAAAAAGATTCAATCTCATTCAGTTTGTCAGAGTAACTCACTGAAAGGTATATTCAAGAAATATCTCGTTCAATTTGTCAGAGTAACTCACTGAAAGGTATATTCAAGGAATATCTCGTTCAGTTTGCCAGAGTAACTCACTTAAAGGTATATTCAAGAAATATCTCGTTCAGTTTCTTAGAGTAACTCACTGACATTTATATTCAAGGAATATCTCATTCAGTTTGTCAGAGAGTAACTCACTGAAAGGTATATTCAAGAAATATCTCGTTCAGTTTGTCAGAGTAACTCACTGAAAGGTATATCCAAGGACTAATTAAATTATATTTTGATGATGACTTAATCAAATTGTTCAATGTTTAATGGTGACGTCATGTGGGTTCAGGCAGTAATTTTTGGGTTAAAGCTTTATGCTTTGTAAAAGTTCTGATCTGTGATTGTGTAAGGTAGTGAACTATGGCAGCCTACTCTTATTAGCATGATATATGATGATGATGGTCATACATTCTAAGGACTGTTCACAGTAAGCCACACCTACAGTGACCTGACTGAGACCACTGGTTATGACAGTAAGAAGCACCTGATAATACCCAAGTTCAAGGTGTCTCCTTCGTGCCAAAGAACTGCATGGCTGTTGGGTGAACAGTCATTAACGCAGGCAGTCAGGTCGTTGTAGGGGCGAGTGACGCTTGCTGGTGGATGTAATGTCCTAAGTCCCTTCCCCAGCTAATAGTATGGGTACTGCTGGGGGTGACTGTTCATTAACCCTCATATAATGCTTCAGGTAAAAATGGACGCTAGGCACGACCACTTCTTTTAGCCGTGGCAAATTGTTTTGCTTCTGCCAGACGGTGGCCGTTGCATTTTTGCTCCATTTGTAGACTGGAAGGATATAGTTTTGTTGCCCAGCTTCTGAGCTGAGTGCATGGTGTGAGACTGTGAGCTGTGGATTTCATTTGAACTGTGATAAACATTTTGTGTGTTTTTCGTTGGCACACTAGCGGAGCAACTATAGGGTGACCCGTTTACTATGAAGCTGAAACTAAGATTACCAGATTATTAGATTCTTGATAATAACTTAGTTTTCCCTGATTGATACCTTCTGATTTTCTTGAAATTGTTAGACATAAAATGATTGCATATCATTGAGACAGATTTGGAAAATAGGAAAATGTTGATAAAGGTTGTGAAAATTTCAGAGATGATTATGTGTATGTTTTCATGGAAAGTTGTTTTGCAGATAACCATAATCTTTTGATTGTTAAGCTATCCGGATCTCAGCAGTAAAGTGGTTATGATTTTTGCCGTACTTATTTGAAATTAATTGGTATTGTTTAAGATTCTTTATTTTCTCATGGGTGCAGGTGTTTCTGAGAACCCTAAGAGGTAATCATTGTAGTAGCTTCAAAGTCTTGTACTTTATGCCACGCTTTCAAAGGGCCAACAGCCATGCTGCAGGCAGAGATCCTAGTCATTTTGTATAGCACACGGTGCAATAAATGTTCCACTTGCTGTTAAACACTTATAATTGTTTTATTATGTGACTTATTAGAAATGTTATACAATACTGGCTCATGCACACACTTCTGGTCGAACTACCCATTTTTATGAAATTCTTTCCTTTGAAATCAGAAAATCGAGTTAATCAGCCATAGAGACAAGGAACCAACAGTCTGCATACAAATGAGTCACTTCTTTAAAACGTATGTATACACAAATACATAGGTTCTGGAACAGTACTAGAGTCCAGAAGTGGACGAACAGCCAGAACTTTCCACCGGAGTTTACAGCAGGTGGACGTGAAGAAGAAGATGATGAAATTGTGTAGCACTGACCTGTCCTTTTAAACATATATGATTTTTTTTTTTTTTTTTTTTTGTGGATAAGAAATGGAAATGAGTTTAAAACCCTAAATGCTAATGCATATTTGAATAACTCCAGAAAGACTAACCTGATCAATAAAACCTTTCAAGAAGTCATCTAAATCAATCAGAAGATGCAAATATCACAAGTTTGCCATAAACAGACATGACACGATTAGGTTTTAACCCCAAAAAATGGTCCCACGAAGATTAAAAACAGATAAACAACTGCTTCTTGAAAAAAATATACCTAATGTTCTAATGACTAACTGAAATCATTTTAACATGGGTAATTTCATTGCTATTGTTTGCATTAGCCGGTAGTCAGAATACATTTTTGTTATTGCTTCAGTAGTTGCCTAATGTATTTTGTTTATGTTGTCAGAATCAACCAGCCCTGGATCCACTGACTTATCTGATCCTGAGGAGATAAGACGGCGTCTGATTGAGATTCTCTGGGACCCCCATCAGCACACGGAGGAGTTACGGCAGCTGCAGCAGTTTGTAAAAATGAAAAGTAAGGCTGGATTTTAGCTTGTCATTTGTTTCACTGTCTACCTCCTGCTTACCTGCAACAGTATCAATTTTTTTTTTAAGAATGTTCTTTTACTGTAGCCAAAATATTCAGTTAATTTTCATTTCTAAATTTAAAACACAGTAAGTTCAATAGACAATAAACTATAGGCTAGCCGTAACTTAAAATCAATACTGAAGACATTTAAAATATCATAGACTGATTATTTTGGCTCCATAAGTAACAGAAGTGGGTACGTATTGCTCTTTACTTCCCAGGACATTTCCTGGAAACCATTTTAGGTTGGGTTGACCTGGGCATGAGGATTAAATATTATTGATCATGAACCATTGAACAGATGGGATTGAGAAATATCAATCACTAATTTTAACGTCCAAAAACAAAAACTTGCTTTTTTTTTTGTCCCCAGTGAATAAAACACGGCAAATATTGAGCATTATATATTTGTTTTTCATTTCTAGGAAACCAGTCTGGGACATCAGACAGTACCTCTGTAAAAGACAAACAGAACGTTTCAAATGGTAATTTATTGTTGATTTTACACATCAAGTCCGAAGTTACATCTAGATCAGTTTTTATTGTTGATCCTAGTGCTCCGAGGTTAACAAAACCTAAGATGGATGCCAAGAAATGTTTTGGGAAGAAAAGTTGGCTGGCATGATGTTGGCCATATCAATCATTTAGAGCTGATTGATCTGTCAAAAATATGGATCCAGCACCCTATGCACGATACATCATTGGATTGAAAGGGTCATTTATCATACAGTCTGTAATAGCATGGCTGTGTGTTACACATGCCTTATTCTCTACTTTATAGAAGATACAAATTACAAGTGGCTGTAAGAAACGAGACAGACACTGTTCTTTGGTCATATCATGAAAAGAGAGGCTTTGGAATCACTGTGAAAGATCAGCGGCAGAAATGATAGAAGCAAAAAGAGAGAAATTATGCAAGACGGAGGAATATTGTCACTAAAACTGATCCATACGCTAAGGACTGAGATCAGGCCATAAATATGAAGGCCCATAATGATAATGAAAATATATTGGTGGTCAGAGGAGAAGTAAAGGTCCCTTTACACACCAGGGGTGCTTTGGACATATGAGTCTAGACTCTTATTGGTTTTGATTAGTTGACCCTCGATAGGGGATGTGGTTGAGATCACACCGGCCACCTTTCCTTCCCATGACTATCTTGGTACCCATTTAATGCTGAGTTGACCTGGCCAAGGTCACACACACACACAAATCAGGCTCCATTCAGATTTAAACCCACGACCTTCAGAGCCACAGGCGAGCATCTGGCCTCTACACAGCAGTTTCTCATTGGTGGTCATAGGATTTCGAAAATCTGATCTTCTTAGAATCTGTTTTTGTGAACCCTACAAAAATCTGTTCATCTGTGCATGAGCTTAGTTTTTGTTTTTGTTTTAACCTTGTTGATTTTTATTTTTACATTTAGTTAAACCTCCTGCGTCCAAAGAAGAAGAGAATGAAGCAGAAAAACCTGCAGATAATCTGAGTACTAGAGAGGAGGACAGAAAGACTGCAGTCACTCCGACGGAATTTTGTGCTTTGTTGCCTGCAAACCCTCAGTTAAATCGACCGACCAATAGAAGAGCAAGGTAATTCTGCTCTAGTTACTGTTTTTTGTTTTGTTTTTCAAATCGGAAAATGTCAGTATGGAGATATCTTTGAGATTAGAAATATACTTTGTATTTTCTCTGTGGAATCCATAATAGAGTCGATCGATTTGCCCAGTAATATAAAACTTGTGGCTTTGTTTTCTGACTGCATCATTCGATTCATGGATACAATTCTTTTCTGAGATCCCATGGGTTGTCTGTGAAGCTTTTAAATTTGTGCTTTGTGCGTCACTTTTAGCAGGTGGCCAACTCCTTTACAGAGAGAGATCGAGACAAATAGGATAAAACCTGATGCATTGAAGTCGATATTCTCATCTGTAATAACTTTTTAATATACTTTCACATTTTTCTGGGGAAGTGGCTAAATATTTTGAAAGAACAGTAATGTCTCTACATTTTTGAATGAAAATTGCATGTCTTGATTCTTACTATTGAGCAATTCGAAATTGTTCCTAAGCCTTTCAGACCTCCTATATTAAATCAAATACCTTTAATCCACCAATGGATTGTTCTCTAGAAAAATTACAACAATGGGTATCTTGCTGACTATATAACTCCTTGTGTGCCGTTGGGCATCTAGAATATGAAGTACTAAATACAACACAAAATGAGGCTAGACATTGTGAAGGAGGGGATGGAAAAGATGTGCACAAATACAATTGAATATTTTAACCAAAATCTTTAACGAGGAGTACAAAATACAGCACAAAATGTGAATAGAAACAACAGACAAAATGACAAATCTTGTAAAATATGAGCAGTTTCTATATATGCCTGCCTTCTATCCATTAATTCAAAATAGCCACCACACACACTCACTTATTCACACGCCCTCGCTCATAGAATCACACTCACACACACACAATGGAAGAAAACTTTTTTTTGTGTTTTTAATTTAGAAGACGGCGAGGACGTAGACATGTGCATCAAAAAAGAGGCTCTCCTCCCATTGCTGCTTTGAACATGATGGTGGGTGAGGAAGGGCACCTGGCCACTTCTCATGATGACACAACGGATGGTGCTGTGCATTGGTTTCAAGATGAACAAGGTAGCATTTCTTTATTAATATATAAGATATTTATGTTTTATAAGACATTTCTGAACTATCTTCTGCGTTCGTCTAAAGATATAATTTTGTTGTGCCTATTTACAGTATGGCTGCGATATTCGCTACTTTCAGCTGACACTTCTGACTTCTGCAGGCATTTGTTGACCAGATTAGACTTCCCAGTCTCTATAGTGTGATACATTTCTATAGTATAAGACATTTCTAAAGTATAAGACATTTCTGTAGTATAAGACATTTGGCAACCAACTTTGCTGTCAGTGATACATGCTTTACTACAACATTGTGGGCAGTGCTATGACATACAAGCAGAGTGGCCCAGAATAAATTTGTCCTCTCCTCTCCCATTTGAGAATTAGTTCAGTTGTTGGCCAAAAAATAGCTCTGACAAGATTCACTTTAATACTTTGGGGTATCTGCTTGTGTGTCAGCAGGAGGGATAGTTGACCCAGTACTTGATTAGCTTTGTCACATCTCGAGCTAATTTCTCTGTCCAGTTTTCTATCGGATGTGAAAATTGCTCCCAAATACTTGAATTTCTGTTTGTCTTGAGGCATTTTTTAATTTGTTTTCTAAATTGTCTTTCTGTCTTCCTATCACCATTGTCTCTTCCTCTTTGTAGTGTTTATTCTCATATTATATTCCTCCCCTTTGTTATTAATTTGATTTATGGGATTTTGTAGGCATTCCAAACTTTCTGCTGTGAGTACCTGGTCGCAGTAAATTGTAATTTTGTAATATCTTCTTCATGATTAAAGTTTGTTTCCTTACACAGGGTTCATATCCGACCTTAAAACTTGAATTTAACCTGGAAATTGTGGCACCGACCTTGAACCTTAATCTTCACTTAGGAAAAACACATACTGACCTAGAAAAAGCCTAGAATTTGGAACAGGGCAATGTGGATCGTTGGCAGTTCAGCTATTTTTCGCTACCTTCATGTTAGATGTTTATGGTCATTTCTGGTATGAGGGCAGTTGATTATCGGCCATTTTCAGCTGAAATGGCTGGTTAAGGGCTAGGGTACAGCGGGCCTTGTTGCAGCCCATGGATACACATAGACAGCAGTGTTAGGGGCAGGAGGGAGCAGCCGCTGCCTTGTGTGCTTTGTGCGTTTGTTTCCAAAAGCAAGGATTACAGTAGAAGATGCTGGGGCTAAGCAATGTGACATTAACGGGATTTTTCAGTTCTATTTAGGCCTGTTTATCTTAACTGTGTGTTTTGCGATTAAAAATTGGGCTCTACTGTCAAATTTGGCCGGTAAGCTGGACTGCTTCGGCCAGCTTAGCGGGGCTTAGTGGGAGTTATGTCCCTTCGCGTCCCTTCGCCAAACTCAAAACAAATCGCGGAAAAAGTCACGAATCAAATGACATACTTACCTATCATCATCCGGGTGCGTGTAGGGCTGCGTAGGGTTGCGTCTAGGGTTACCTATCATCATACGGTTGCGCGTAGGGCTGTGTAGGGTGTCTATCATCATCATACGGTTGTGTGTAGGGATGCGTAGGGTGTCTATCATCATCATCATACGGTTGCGTGTAGGGTTGCGTAGGGTTTGGGTTAGCGGTAGGGTTAGGGGTGTGTGTTAGGGGTAGGGTTAGGGGTAGGGTTAGAGTTAGATGTGAAAATATTCACGTAGGAGGTCGAAATACTGGCCAACAATCTGATGCTTGTGGGAGTGGCTCCACTGGAAGTGTGCCAAATATGACGACAATAGCGAGCGGCTGGTGCCCAATCGGTGACGAATTGTCCGTGTCAGTAGCATCCACCGTCCGTCTACTATTTGCGCGTGCATGCGACTGTGCGCGATTGTAGGGACCTACGGCGTCACAATTGTCACATCTAACGCTACACCTAACCCTAAACCCTAACCCTAACCCTAAACCCTAAACCTAACCCTAACCCCTAAACGCTAACCCTAACCCCTAACCCTACCCCTCATCTTACGCAAACAACCAACCTACACGCAATAAGCAGCCCTACACGCAACCGTAGGACGATGATAGACACCCTACGCAACCCTACATGCACCCGGATGATGACAGGTAAGTATGTCGTTTGATTCATGACTTTTTCCGCGACTTGTTTTGAGTTGTTTTGAGTTTGGCCAAGGTACATAACTCCCACTAAGCCCCGCTAAGCCGGCCGAAGCAGTCCAGCTTACCGGCCAAATTTGACAGTAGAGCCAAAAATTGTGTTTCCACCATAGCTTGCCTTTTCTTTTCTCCATCGCTCTACCTCTCTCTCCCCCTCCCTACCCTTCCCTATTT